TCAGTAAGAATAAAAAGGAAAAAAATGCAAGGTACAAGAACAAAAACAAAGATACCAACTCACTCGCAAAGCCATTCCAGATACGCCTAATGATAGGTCGACATCCTTGAACAACTGTAGATTCTATTCTCGGCGCCAGAGCAAAGGGGAACCAAAGAGGGGACCACGCTCTCTGTGTTGGTCAGCAAGTTGCAATCCAAAGGGATGACTATGGAACAAGAAAATCCATCCGTTCTCACCTCAACCCAGGTAAATCCCTTGCCAAATATCTCCTCCTCCTCGGGGTCGACGTCAGAATCGGATTCAGAATCATCTATGATCACAACTCTTTCCCTCTCCTTGGCAGAGAAAGGAATGTCGACCGGCTCAGATGTCGACGGATCATTCCTCGGCACGACTATGACAACCTATGGTAAAGGAGCAATCTCAGCATCATGAACCGAAATCTCAACGTCCGAAGTCACGTCGATTTTAGGAACGTGCACGGCCGCATCGGGCTCACCACCTGTTGATCTCTCACCCCTTTCTACCTCGCCACCAATCTCTACTCGCCGCCTTTTCAATGGAACCGCTTCCTCATCGCTCGACGATAACTCATCCACCAAATGTAGTAAATAAGAAGTCGTATCCCTGTTTATGGGGCAGCCGCCCGATGGCTAGGCCTACACAGAGCAAGGACTTCAAAAGAAGCAGCGGTCTACACAGACTCGCATGTAGTCACAACGGTCAAAGACATGGTCACAGTACCCAACTGACGAAAAGCGGGGGTGGGAGCTTTTGCCTTCCTTGGAGCCTTTCAACCTAAAAGCAAGGAAAACCACGTGAGTGAAAAAGAAAAACGATATTGAGGTCGAGGTAATTGGAGATCAGAACTGGACTCACCGGTTGAAAAAGGTTGGGGCCCAAACTTCTTGTTGAATAACGACTAATCACGGATCCCCACTCTGTGGGGCAAAACCTGAGCCACCCAATCGCGAATATCGGCGACTAACATAGGAGGCTCCTTCTTGGATGCACCATAAAAGAACGATTAGGTAACCAAAGAAAGACAACAAACGACCAGTCAATAAAATAACTTATGGGCGAAGTTCCACTCCTCGGGAAACCCAACAGGGTTCGCCACCACGTGCTCGGTTTTGACAAAGAAAAAGTCAACCTAAAACCTACGATTGGTCTTAGCATCCATTTTCACCACCAGTCCTTTGGACCCTCAGTGGTGAAGGTGTATCATCGTGCCCCGTGAAAGCTCAGAGCGAAAAGATGTAGCAAATGGCGGATAGAGATTTTGCGGTCGGCGAGCTCCGCGTAATTTATCAATATAATGAAGAGTTTGTAAATATAGGGAGAGAGCTAGGCCGGATAGATGTTGGAGTAGCGGCAGAATTCATCCACTAACGGGGCAAGAGGAAGAGAGTAGCCCGCTCAAAATGGGTACACGTAAAATACGCAATACCCAGGATGATAAATATGGACCACATCGTTCCCTGCCAGGACCAGGTCAACATGAGCGAGGATGTTATACTTGGACCTAAGCTCGAAAGATAGGCCATTCCCATCTCAGATTTCACAGGCACATGCTCATCAGTGGGAGGCTTCAAGAAGTCCAACCTGGCCTTGTCATTACGAGGGACAATCTCTTCTACTGTGGGAAAGCTATCATCTTCTACAACAATGGCCTCCCCTTCATCGCGAACGGGCATGGCCATTGATATTGGAGGCGGTCTGAAAATCTCCTCAGAGTTCGAAGATGCACTAGCCATTTGTATAGCTATATAGGAGTAAAAAAACCAGAAGTGAAGAAGAAATGATGATGGTGAAAGTTGCAGGAAATATGGACATAGGAAAAAGAAGAAACAAAGTGCAGGATTGAGAAATCAGAGTGTAAAGTTCTCTCCAAAGAGTCTCCCCGTTCTTATTCATAGAAAACCACAGCTCTCGAATCGATACAAACAACCGTCAATAGCACTAGAATTGAAATGACAGAAGCACAAGGAATAATGCAATGCATTGGGAAGATGTGTTATGATGACACATGCAATTGTGATGTCACCCTGAACCAACCTCACTGATCGCAGCTCTCAGAGAGACACGTCATCATCTCGGCAGCAATCACCGCTGCTCGACCTCGTCGTCCAAATTTCTCAAGAATTGCGATTGATGAAGTTCGCTCATTGAGGTCGACCAAAAGACGATCTCGATAAGCGGAGAGACTAACTGTATGGGTCAAAATCTGACTAAAGGAAATTCGGCATGAAGATGTGACCAAGTGTGAGAACTCCGGTTCATCATAGGCGACTAGGTCGAGGTCAACCAGGGGTTGACAATGCTGAGCCGCCGAATAAGCCATTAGGGCCGAGGTCGAGCAGTAGGAAAAGAAGTAACGGCTAGTGTAGCTTTGGAACCTTCAACGAGAATATTCTATACTTTTTTTAGGGTTTTTGGGAATATCCCATATAAATAGTAGAAGAGAGAAGGCAAAAGGGGGGAATGTTCATTCTCATAAGAAATCTTATGGAAAGTTGACCTTAGGGAGACAATAAAATGGGCATAAAATGGGTATGAGAAAAAAAATCATTATCTCCTCCTATTCAATTTCATGAAGATTGGAGAAGAAAGTGATTGTTGGCAATAGGGCATGTCTTTTATTCGGGCAAGTCTGAAAAAACCATAATGGGTGTTTCTTTTTTTAAAAAAATTGGTAAAAATTTAAATTTAGACCAATGGGACGGTGATATATGAATATTAATTATAAACATTTTCCAAATAAGTCCGTTAGTTAATAAGAGTATAAGTGAGCCGATAGAGGCATTTTCGGCTCAATAGCTGGACGGCGGGAATTTTTGTACCAAATCTAGTAATCTAAGGGTAGTTTTGGCCCTTTTTCGAATTAAATATAATAGTCATAAAAAAAGCTTTGGTACCTAACATGCCAAAAAGCTGGTCTTGGACGAGGAGTTAGGTCGCAAACCAGTTTTTCTTGGAAAAAACGACTATTAGTATTTTTATTTTTTCATAAAACTTTTGAACGTGAGGTAGGGAATAATATCAATGATGGCTCCAATTTTTATTCCTCAAATAACTTTTCTTCGTTTTTCCTCAAAATATGTTCACTGCTTATTACCATTCAGGTAAAAGGTAATCAGAACAAGACTATGTAATAAATATAAAAACAATGAAGATTATGAGGAACTCTGAATTTATTATGAAATATTAACATTGACATTATTGAATATGTATTTAAGAGATAGATCATCTTCATAATAAAAAGTTAAATTAATAAACTTAGAAAGTTGAAAGCTGCAGATTACGTCCCAAAAAAGGAAACTTTAAGCGGATAGAATTTTGTCTCCTTTGTCCGCCTTAGGTAAAATTTTAAATTTAAGCACTTTTTTTATTTTTAGGAGTTGATAATCTTAGTTATTATTTGATTTTCGTGAAATGTGACCTCGGATAGAATTTTCAATTTCAACACTCGGATTTAACCCAAATTCATCTATACTCCCTACTAGAAGGTCAATTTAATCTTAATTATTCTACTGTGAATATGTCATTTGTACTGCATTCATCCTTTTAAACTAAATTATTTGTACGAACTGTCAAAAGTTAAAACTACAAGTTCAATTCAAAAATTGGTAGCAAGCAAGGCTCTATCAGCTTTTTGAAGGAATAGGGGGCGGACCAATCTAGCCGACAACCCAAAAACTGGTCCGATATCAGTCCATGGCTAGCTCTTCGCCACAGTTGGCCCGGTGCCTCAACCCTTGCCGGGCTATTTGCCATTGTCAGATGAACCTTTAAATGTGAGAAGAATTAAACCAAATAGCCGTCCACCTAATCTCTTAAACTAAAAATAGCCGGTAGATGTATAAAAAAGGCAGCCCGGTGCACTAACCTCCCGTTATGCACAGGGTCCGGGAAAGGGCCGGACCACAAGGGTCTACAGTACGCAACCTTACCCTACATTTTTACATGAGGCTGTTTCCACGGCTCGCACCCGTGAACTCCTGGTCACATGGCAACAACTTTACCAGTTACACCAAAACTGCCCTTCAGCGGGTAGATGTATAATATACGTAAAAGTCATGAATAATATATGCATAACTGTGTATAATTGATATATAATCTATGTATACCGACTATAAAAAATAAACATTAAATTTAACCGGCTATTTGTGTAATCCCGGCCTGCTTCTACAACTTTCATTGATCGAAATGCTATAAGCCCATAATTTCTCGCCATAAGCTACAGTTTGGCATAAATAAGTGGTATAAGATATGGTCAAAACTGGATACGCATACATGGATATTGTTGCATCCTCCTAACTATTGTTAACTGTAGTTAGAGTAGTAGAGTGGGACCCACAGTTCTCTTAGGTTTTCACTTGAGCTTTCCTCCAATTGGCATTAGTAAAAGACATGATTGAACACAAAAGAAAAGATGCATACTGCGACATCATTTCAAATGCCAAACACAATTTGAAAGAATGACAAATTCACAAGGATGGAAGTAACATCATCCAAAAAAGAGAGTTAAATCTAAAACAACTTAAAAATGAAAGAAACTGAAGATTATACTCCTAAACCTGACAAGGAAGGAGCTGCGGTTGGTAATTTACCAATTAATCGACAAACCATGCTAAAATGGCGACAAAGAAGCTATATCAATTTCAACCCAAAAGCCTCAAAAGATAATTAGACTCGGTATTTAAACTCACTGAGACAGAACTAAAAGCCTATCAAGAAAACGTTTTAGGCAGAAAGCAAAAATGGTAGAAGCTGGGCAAGAACATTTTCACAAGGCAAAACCATGTAATGCAATTAACATTACCAGAATTGCTGTCATGGGTAGATTGGACAGCAGCGAGGTGTCTGGCCGAGTTTAATCAGCTCCATCCATATATGCATATAAAGTTGCTTTTACTTCATTTTGTAGGCCACCACAGAAAAGTGCGAAAAGCCTATGGTGGTATGGATATAAAAAAGTTGAGCACAAATGAAACTGAGAGGTTAAAAGCTTGGATGGAAGGAAATAAGAGGCCGTGGCAGCCAGATATATTCAGCTTAACATAGATTTCACTATGTACAAGTTTTAACTATATCTGTCACGACAAGTATGACAACCCTCTGGTGTTACTTTTGTACATGGCATACAAGTTATGTAAGAGAATTGATGTTGAAAATACAAACCAATTGCTGTTCCTGAGGGACTGAGGATGACACTACTCGCGCTTATCCTCCTCAGGATCTTCTCTTTTGTCACTCACAAGCTCCGTCAAAGCAGACCCTTTCTTTTCTTTCCTTTCAAGCGTGGTCCCTGAGTCACCAATTACCCTCACTCCGGTCATTATCCTCACTCCGCTCGTGAGAGAGATAGCTTCCTCATCGTAATCATCTTCGGTTTCCCCAGCATATGCATATCTAAAGTAACCAAGCAGAAAACAATTTTGGCAGAAAACAATTTTGGCAGAAAACATAGATGCAGGGCTATGCTCAAATCAACCATGAGTTTGCTATTCCTTGCTACACAAGTAGGAATGATAATTTTTCTCCACTAAAGAAAACCAGAAAGACGCTGGAGAACTTAAAAGTAACAGCATCAGAATCTCAATACTGGGGAAACTCCATAAACCTATTCATTATAAATGATTCTCGAACACTAAATAAATAGCTATAATATACATTGGAAGATTTGTCACCGAGATATTTAATCTTCTTACACTTTTTACATTCATAAATCACAATTACTGGAAAATTGACATTTTAAATTGCCTGCATCTTTTTATTGCTCAATTTATCATCTGTGATACATCCTTTATAATACGTGTCATACCTGAACTTTCTATGCCACAGAAGTTCAATCAGACACCAACAACAACATACCCAATGTAGTCCCATAAGTGGGGTTTGGGGAGGCTAGAGTGTACACAGGGGTAAACCTTACCCCTGCTTATAAGAAAGCAGAGAGGTTGTTTTGGACAATCGGACACCAATAATTATTGTTGAGCATAATACCCAATAACAAAACAATCATGAAACTTGTATACCCATGTCAAGGTCACAATTGATAATAACATAAAACTAGGTTGACTAGTGTTAACAACAAATATCAACGATTTTGTCAAACATTTTCATAGAAAGGCTAATTGAAAGAAAGAAAGGCTCAAGTTAAAACATCTACCTGGTTGGATTACTTGAAGGAGCCCAGAGAATACATATTACTACCAACAATGAAAAGGCAAGCAAACTCCAAAAAGCTGGAATAATCCAGGAAATTCGCCATAGCTCACTTAACGGGTCGCTTGCATTGAAGTACAGCTGAACCAGAATATAGATGAGTGAGATGAAAGAAGCACTATTCTTGCATGCACGTCAGGTGAAAAACCATTAAATAACATGACCACAGGTAAACTATCAGATATCTCTTCCTCATGTTGTCAAATGTACGGATAAAAATGACAGGGAGTCAAAAAGGTACTTAGAAAAATTTAATTTACCACTTTAGTATATTCTTCACAAATTTTATCAACTGAACTCACAGTATCCAAATACATTTAAATTACCAAAGATACCTATGAAAAACAAAACATGTATATATATTATCAATATAAATTATCATCACAAATTACAAACAATATTACCTTATATAATATCCTCTCCCGCCCTTCTTGCTATGTAAGTCCTGTTTTCTTACCATACCCACATCTTCAACAAGTTCTAAAGTTCCAACTGCCATGTACCTTTACCTTCATTTTTACCAAAAGATGCTACTCCTATGGATATCGTGGAACTTACCATCACTAATTAGGAGAGGGATCTCATAGATAGGCCGCATCTTATATATTTGGAGACTTTTTTTATATTCAGAAATTGAAATAAAATTACCTCATAGCCAACCCAAGCAATGGAAAGCAGCACAAAAATTGCAAGGGAATTGGTAAACTTTCTATAAAGATCAAGTTTTGCCATGCTTTTCCGCATCTGCAGTTAAGAGTGAAAAATTATCAATAACTGAATGAAATAATTACATGAACTACAATAATAAAGTCAAATACGTCTCGTGTTAAAAGTTTAGATTAAGAAATAGATTAACTAAATTAATTATATGAATTAGGTTGAGTATTCTTTTCTCTTCTGTTACTGTTTACCCTTTTCTCTTTAGCACTTCGTCTAAGCTAAATCCTTAGTTGTATGCCCGGATGTAAATTTATATGTTCATATATTAACATTATGGCAAACTCAACAAATATGGAAAAACTGAACACACACACACACACATAAATGTACAATAATTTTTTTTAAAAATATGGAGAGAATATATAATAACAAATAAACGAAAATAGAAGGCTTGACACACGAAAGGGTTCAAAGCCTAAATGATGACCAAGTCATTTGTAGATTATCTGTGCGAAAACTTCAAAGTTAACTATCATAATCCCATCCAAACTGCTAAACCCAAATGAAACTGACAGAATTGTGCTAACATACTTGCACATTTGCACAGTTTGTTAAGATCAAATAAGCAAGGAAATCACCATTTTACTCCAAAAATCTACCTGCAATTTTTCCAATGTCTTGGATAATGATGAGAATATCCACAAAATAACTGATGCATCCAAGAAAACAACAGGCAGCACCAGATATATCTTGGTTTTCCTTGAGAAGTCATTGATGCTGCCCAAATGCTCCACAAGTTCAAGTGCCTCAGTGGCAATAAAATACATTAGGCATAAAAGATACACTTTTGAGGTTACACCACCAAGCGTAGGCCGGACAACACCATAACCCATTGAAACGACTAAAAGAAGCGCACGAGACAACGTCTTCTTTACAGCAGTCATTGTGACTGCCCATATCGTAATTACCATAGGTCTGCTTCCTGTGGCACTAAGATTTGCATATTCAAAATACCAGAGCGCCATCTCAGACATGCCAAGGGCAATAACAGCAGTAATCTGATAATGTAGCTGTATAACATCCTTCCAAAACTGGACAAACTTCAGGAACCAGAAAAAACCAAGCACAAGATAGGCTAAAGAAGCAAGTCCGTAGAAAGTCATCAATGGTACCATTCTCCCTGGTAAGTAGCCATCTGGATTTTTCCATACCGTCCTGCCTCTGATTATTGTTCCCTTAAGTGCTGGGTCACAAAACATGAAATAAAGATAGTACATCCCTGTACTGTTAATTTCAACTGTTGCGGGAAGCATATTTGCTTCCTGATTCTTTCCTTCAAAAAATGTCTGAATACGTAGTGGCCACAGTGGGTTGTCTTGGTTGTGCTGAATCATAACCTCTCCTACGGTGCAGAACTTCTCTTGAGCAAGTTTTGGAGTACAACACAGTGCATTAGACTTTGCAAAAGCATCTCCAATCTTTTCTCTGTCTCTGACCTCAAGAATGATAGTTTCAATCAAACCAGTTCGACTCTGCATCGCATTTGTTGCTTCAGCAGACTCCTTTGTCCTCAAAAAAACAACATCTTCAAATCTGCAAAGCTAAGATCAATGTGAGGTAGGAATCTCAAGGTCCATACTAGAAAATTGAAAATAAAAGGAGCAGAAAGAATATGCTAGCATATGAACATCTTATATTAATATTATTACCCAGCTAGGGAACAAGAAATTTATCAAAGAAGCTATTAAAGAAACCATAAAACTTCTTAATGAGTATTTTAAACACGATAGAGCAGCACAGGCTCCGTGAAATGTGTTTCTCGAGAGAAGTGAAGTAACCTTAAACAGGAAAAAGAAGATATTTTCCAATTACCAGCATTTGTTTGAAGATGTACGGGAAGTTTACAACAACAATAACAACAACTATGCCTCAGTTCCAAACAGTTGAGATCAGCTATATTAGCATCATAATGATCAAAAAATTGCACCATCTAATCTTTAATATGCTAAACATAATGCATGCAGTCACTCATATAATGGTAAATATTACTCCCTCTGTCTCATTTCATGTACCACGCTTTCCTTTTTAGTTTGTCCTAAAGAAAATGACACATTTTCATATTTAGAAAAAATTAAACTTTAAAATCAAAATGACCCTTAATGAAATGATCTATAATCACACAAATATGAATGACTTATTTTAGACCACAAGTTTTAAAAATCTTTCTTTTTTAAACTCTATGACCTGTCAAACGGTGTCATATAAATTGGGGGCGGAGGGAGTATTAATTAGAAGAATAATGATCAATCAATAGTTAACTAAGCTTCAATTTAGAACTAGCTGGGGTCAACATTAAAATAGAGTAGTATAATAAAGATAATTGTAAAAATGAAAACTCGCAGTATACTTCCATGAGGGGCGCGTGTGTAAGAGAAAGAGCGCGTGAGGTACCTGATGAAGGATTTTCCTTCAAGTGGTTTATCCGGGGAAGCATTCGATGATGATTTGGACGCATAGAGACCCTCAGTTCCACCATGGAAGAAGAAAGCATTGGATTTTGGAATAAATTGCTCGTCTTTGTACTCGTGAATTGAAGCTGATACGTTACTGATTAAGTTGAATGTATAGAAGAGTAGAATTAGAAAGATTATCCATAACTCGGAAGTGCCGTGTTTCATTGATTGTTTCGCCGTCTTTCGCCGTGTGCGGTGGAGCAAAGGTGGTTAGTTGTGTCTGGTGGCAGTACAGTTCAGTAGAAGCAGAGAAACCAAACAGAATCTATCATAGAGCTGACGTCGAACTTATTAGAGTCATTAATCCTCCATAACGACGTCGTTCCTTTGAATTTAATTCTTCTCAATCATATAAAGAGTTTTATATTCTCGTTAAAAAGAAATTCGAGTTTTACTCTCTCTCTCTCCCTCTCTTAAAATTATTAGACAATCAAAAGCTTGAGTTGATATTTTAGGCTATGTTACCCTTTAAAATCGGATAACAATTAAACTTATAAGTAATTTTAAAGATATGTGATTTCACTTGGCACTAACTGATAAATATAAGAATTAGTGCTAGAAATTGACAATAAAACAAAGCAAACCATTGTGATGAACAATTATGGCCCTTGAGCTAATTGCCATCGAACTAACTGAACAAACTATTGAGAGTATGAACCAAACAATAGAACTTGCAAAAGATAAAAGTGTGATATATTGCTTTGATATGCGTGAATGTAAAATGGTTACAGAATGATCAGACCCCTCTTTATATAGTAGATGAATCCTATTTATAGTACAATTCTAATTATAGAAGTAAATCCTATGATGGGCTAAATAATCGTTCTTAATTTGATTCGTTCCGAGATTTTTGTCATGATCCTCGGCCAGTCACAGATATCTCGCCTTTCTGTTATTATGCTATCTTCGGTCTTGCTCGATGCCTATCCTGTTTGGCCTCGATCATCACCGGTCTCGACATCAATAGGTACTTCGAATCTCGAACTCGGTGTCTTATCCTCATACCTTGATCTAATATACTATGGGGTCGATCCTCGATCCATCCCCTGGTCTCGGTCAATTAGTAAAATCGGGTGGGCCCGATTTTAACCATATACAGATAGTCCCCTCATTTTTTGGAGTATAATGACAATAAACGAATTGAGTCATCGACCTTTACCCCAATTTATCATGACGCCATCACTGTGACGTAAGCGACAGAGGTGACTGAAACGTCCTGTCGGTGCAGTTCCCTAGGTCAAAACTCTTTGCATTCTTCAAGTTCTTCGTCTGCAGATCTTCAAGTTTAATTGCTAACTTATTTTTAAAACACCAAATACTATCACCTTCATCCCTCTTTAATCTCACAACCAAATGGTGAAAACGTCAAAGACAGTGCAACGAAAGGAAAAGGCTTCCTCATCAAGGGCCGCCGACAAGGAGACCGCGACGGAGCCACGTCCTGAAGAATTCTGTCCTCCATCGTGTGTCATTGATTCTGATTTTAAAGTCAAAAAGACTTCCTCGGTGCCAGGACGATGCGAGCCGGTGTCGAGATACATATGTTCGATCTCCGATAAACTCCTCTCCCAGGTTAAGAAAGTTTGCAAGTGGGGTAACAAGCATGTAGTGGTGCCCATTCCTGAAGAATCGATCACCACCCATGTGGAGGGGTTATTGAGTGTTTACACCTACCTTTTCACGCTGGGTCTTATAGATCTAATTATCGTGGACTTCTGCAAGAAGTACGAGGTCACCCTCGGTCAAATTCATCCTTCTTTCTAGAGGATAGTAATACTACTTCGATTTTTTGTGAGTAAAGTCGATGTGCTTCCCTTCACCCTCGGCCATCTCGTTCGCCTGTATAGCCCCCGACTTTATCGGGGAGGATTAATACAGCTTCAGCGTCGGGCCAACAAGGCGCCTTTATCGAGCATAGATGAGGATAGAGATCATGGTTGGATGGGCTGGTTCGTTCGAGTGAAGACCTCGGACTTAATCCCGCCCGAGAGTATGTCCTTTCCTGAAAAGTGGAATATGAAACGTAAGTATAATTCCGTTCTAACTTTCTGTTTATTGTCTTCGTTTCTTTATCAGTGTTTTACTTGGTGTAGTCGTTGCCTGGATGTGGGGAGTGGTTCCCCATCTTGAGGGTTGGTTCGGAGCCTGGTATCGCAGTCGACACACGCAAAACGTGCTTGGCGTGACTTATCGAAGGGCCGATGGAAGTCCTGTAGCCATGGTAAGTTCCTCTCCTCAACTTAATAATTTGACCACTGTTCAGGTATATTTCCGAGCTTACTTGTTTCTTTCCTTTTGCAGGTCTTGGGAAGAAGGTGCTGATGAGGCCCCCGTTTGATGAAGAAGAAAACTCATTCCCTGCCCCGAAGCCAGCAACGGAAAGTAAGAGGAAAATGGCTTCGACCTCCAAGGGGCTAGAGCCTAAGAGTAAAGCGGCTCGAAAGTCCAAGAAGGATGTGATTCCACTGTCCATGAAGTTAGTTTAACTCCTAAGAAGGGAGGGAGAAGAAGCAGAAAAATGAGGATGATTTCGGTCTGGTGGATCGAGCACGAGCTAATACCGAGGGTTAAAAGGCCACCAGATCATTTGAAACTAGAAATATTCTGCCCCAATCTGACGGGGCCCAAGAGGGGGATTCAGTTAGAGTCCCTGAGCTGATTGGAGTTGAAGGTACCTCACCTCGGGGTGAGAAGGCATCGAAAATGGCTGTGGAGGCCGGTCCCGAGGCTCCTCGAAATGAGGAGAGTGTCCCAAGATATCCAACTGGGCAATAGAAATCAGAGACTCCCCATCGCTACCTTCATTCTCCGAAGAGGAAGTTCAAGAGGCTGGGGCCATGAAGACACCTCATGTAGAAGTTGTCCTCGGAGGGGAGGACCTTTTTTTTGGTTGTTTTGTTGGGGTCGATGATGTTGCTGGCTTGAGTGACTTGGAGGTACCGAGGAATAGCTTGGGTGAATCTTTCTCGAGTTTCAGATTGACCAGCCAGTTTCCGGCCCCTAGTGTCAATCCCGAGTGCAAATGAACAATCATCATTTCGATCCCGGAGGATGCACGAGTTTTTGCCGCCCACGTAGGGGTGTCTAGTTACCTTCGGAGTCTGGTCACGAAGGAACACCAAGCTCTGATGGATGAGGTGAGAGCATTGTGTCTCTTCAATGAGGCCCAACAGGATTTGAATCGGGTAAGCCCTAACTTTCCTTGTCAAAACCATCTTCCACACGTGTTTTTCTCTTCTTGCCTAATTCTTTTTCTTCTATTTATGTAGGCCTCGGTGCTTCATCATAAAGCTTTGTCTATGTCTCGAGGAGACCTGAGCCGATACGAGGTTGAAATTTAAAGGCTTTCTGAGGAGAGAAACGCCCTTAGGCTTCTCGGTGAGCAAAAAGAAGAAGAAATCAAGGGCCTCCGAGTTGAGCTGGCTGCGAATCAGAAGGAACAAAACGAAATGACCGAGCAGGTAATAAAAGTCTTAGAAGCTCATGGCATCGGTTCAGTAGTGATGGCTAACAATTCGATCTCACAGGTCTAGCAGAAGCTCGAGATGATCGGTCAACTCCATGGAGAGGTAGATGCGGTGAGGGCAGAAACCATAACGTGGAAGCAAAATATGGACCGTCTTGCCTCAGAGAAAGAGGCTGCTCGAGTTCAGTTATCCTCAGCTGAAAACCAACTCCAAGGCATAAAATAGAATAACTTGGCACAAGCCAAGAAAATTGAGGAGCTCCAGGCTCGATTGGTTACGGAACTTGCAGTGGCGAAATCTAAGGCTGAGACGGCTAAGGCCGATGCTGAGGCAATCGTGGCTGTCTATCAATCTAACGTCAAAGCTGCTCCAGCTCGAGCAAAGGAAGTTGCTGATACTGTTCAGACTCGAGCATAGTGGGTGGACGAGCTTGCCAAGTGCCACTCTCGAAGGGAGACTCTCGAGGAGATCCACGCTCGTGGCTTCGATCTCGCTGCCGAGATCAAAGATGCAAAAGAACTTGAAGCCAAAGTCGAAGAATTGGTCTCTTATGATGATGATGGTTCCGGGAGCATGAGTGGGTCCAAGAGCAGAGAAGACCACGAGGGAGAAGATGTTGCTCCTGGAGAAGATTAAATACTTAGGATCTTCTTTTTTTGGATTTTTTGCATAGAATTCCGATCGGGCCATATTTCCTTTGTAAATAACTTTGACATATATAAAGATCTTTCTTGTGAAATTTCATCACTTCTGCCTTATGAAATTTGTGCTTTATTTATGTTTTATGAAATTATTATTCATAGGTTCGAGGTTCAAGTAATTTGGACCGAAACCAAACTAGTGTCGAGTGAGTGCTTGCTCGAACTCGAAGTAGGGTAACCTTTAGCTTTTAGTTGAGTGAGGATGATCCCATGAACTCAAAACGAAAGGTGGCCCTTAGTCTTTCGTATTAGGCCAATGTGGCCTTGGTAAAAATATTGGCCTTTTCCCCTTTTCGGCTTAAAAAGTTCATTGTTAATTATACAAAATTTATTATGCCTTAGCACGAAATAAGGAATTGTTCGAGAGTTCGAACAATTTTGCATTCATTTGGTTACTCGAGGCTTGATATTATTGAAGCCCTTTGTCATTTTGTCGAGGGTAGCCTTTTAACTGACTTATAAGAATATTCGAAGGCCTGTTTTATTACGGAATTCGGACGTCTCCGAATCGTGTCAATTTGGTTGTAGCCTTTACTTTGGGATTCGCCTCTTGGGCTCGTTTTCCTTTTATACTTCGAGTTTGTTCGAAGTATCAGTCCCTGAGTAGGGTAGTCGTGGCCTATAAAAATCGAGGGTTGCCTTTTAAGGTCTTATAATCTCGAGATTTTAATAAGTCGATCCCATCTATTTTTCAGACGGCAATCCACGAGTGGGGGGTTAATTGTTCGAACTTTAGTTGCAATCGACCCTTAAGCCTGTTTACACAGTAGATTGAGTATGAAATTGTGAAGTAGAAATTTTTTCTAAGGCATGAGATATTGTCAATGAAAAATACTTCTTTCAATAGATGATTATACATGCATACATGTTTGATGTTAGGGATCGAGTAACCTATATGGGCATGGTTCATTCAGCCGTTTGGCCCTTACAAAATTTTACCTATCAAGACCCCGTTGTTACGAAGTAATTTCCTTGCAACAAAGTTGACATTCAAGGGTAATGCCTCCCAATATTTGAGGTTGATTGTAAAGAAGCCTCGGATATTGTTGAATTGTTCTAAGTTAGCACGATCAATGGTTGCCTCGTTAAAAACCTCACCGAAAAACCCAA